TATATATATATATATTATTTTGGTTATACAATAAGAGATAATTATCTCTTATCTTTTATCTCATTTCATCCATATATCATCCCTAAACTTAAATCATTAATATTTAAATATTACTCCCTTGCACTTAATTTTATAGATCGTTTGGTTCAAGGTGCATTTCATATCCTTTGAGCTGGATTCAAACCCTTTCTTCTTCTTCTTCCATACATTGCACTCTGTTACAAAAAATACTACTCCTTTTGTCCACAATATTAAACATTATTTGATTTTATCTTTAAATTAAAATTTTAAGAGAATTTTATATTCTTATTTATAATATTTTTAAAACAAAAAGTAAAAATAAATAAAAGTTTTTACTCGATAAGTTAAATAATTAAGTCAAAAGATAATGATGTGATTAAAATAAAAAAATATGTATTTTTTTTGATATATCTGATAATAAAAAATTATATAATAATAGATAACATTCTCATTTTCTTAAATCTTTCTTTACTCTACTCAAAATTCGAACTTGAATTTTAAGACCTTAACTATTAAACTATCTTCTTAGGCGTAAAAATGTATATTCCTTAAAATATAAAAAATGTCTATTATTCTTTGAATAATTTTAAATAAGATATATCTATTAATTTAGAACAAAGCCAGTGATAAATAAAAGGTAAAATTGTCATTTTTATTTTTTAAATTATTATTAATTTATTATATAAATTCACTAAATTAATTTATATAAAATTAAAAGATTATCACAATTAAAAAGGACCGAATGAAATCTTAATTAAACACTTACCAAATATGAAAAAAATAAGCAATACTAACACAATCTCATTATAAAGTTTACTAATAACCTTAAGATTTTATTTATTAATAAGTTAGTATTGTTTTATAAGTTAAATTTAAGATTAAATTTTGAAATTTACACTTAAAAAGATTAATTTTCTTAAATGTATCATATCAATGTAAAAGATACATTCTTAAAATTATTTAAGTATATAAAAATTTATAACTATTTTACTAGTTTTTCTACAATAATTTAAACCTTTTTACAATACTTTTTCAGTAAAATTAATCCCCTAACCACACAGCCTTCATATTCTTTTATTTTATTTGCTTGTGCCTTTAAAGCCTTTTTTTTTTTAACAAGATTACATGTGGAGAGTTTTTGAGGGAAAAAAAAAAACACTTGAATTCGGATCCAATAAAAAAACCTATATGAAGAACAACAACTTGCTCTATTTCATCTTCTCGTGCCTTAAAAGCCTTTTTTTTTTTTTTTTTCAAAGGGAATTGGGAGTAAGGGGAAGGGAAATGCGAACCAGAGAGTTCAAACCTTGATGTGGATGAAAAATACACAATAGTCACGTACCAAAATTCATGTCTTAAAAGCGCGTTTGATTTTAAG